AATTTTTCAAAATGCATGATTAAAATTTAATTCACTATACAGCTATAAACATTCATGTAAGTAATAATACAATAAAGCAGAAATTCAATGAACTATAAAGAAAAAATTATATGTAACTAATGACATATAACTAACATGTAACTCAATAAACATAAAGCAATGATTGACAGAACCATAAGAAAAAAATATGAATTCATTATAATTGTAGGAGATTTTAATACACCATATTGATACTTCAAGCAGACAAAAATATGCAGACAAAACATTTGATAAACACAAATAAAAAGCTTAATTTAAGGAAATATGTATAAATATTGCCAATATCTATATGAAATATTTATAAAAGGTGACCAAATAATATGCATAAAGTAAATTTTAGCAAATTTCAAGAGGTTGAGTTTATGTACACCACATTTTCTGATCACAATGATTCTGTTAACAGTCAGTAAAGAAACAACTTGAAGATGATCAAATGTTTGAAAATTTTAGAAACACACTTGTAAATATAACTCATGGCTCAAAGAAGAAAAAATAATCAAACTTAAGAAATATTTGGAAATGACCAATAACAAAAATAGTTAAAACTGTGTGGGATACAGCTAAAGTAATATTTACAGGTAGTATAATAACACTAATTTCTTTTAAAAAATTTTTTTTTATTTTTGTTTTTGAGATGGAGTTTCGCTCGTTACCCAGGCTGGAGTGCAATGACGCGATCTCGTCCACTGCAACCTCCGCCTCCCGAGTTCAAGCAATTCTCCTGCCTCAGCCTCCCAAGTAGCTGGGACTACAGGCGTGTGTCATCATGCCCAGCTAATTTTCGTATTTTTAGCAGAGATGGGGTTTCACCATGTTGACCAGGATGGTCTTGACCTCTTGACCTCATGATCCACCCACCTCAGGCCTCCCAAAGTGCTGAGATTATAGGCGTGAGCCACCGTGCCTGGCCTAATTTATTTTTCAAAACAAGATGAATAAACTCAGCAACAGACTTAAGAATGTATGAAATAATAAAAAAATGTTAATGAAGAGCAGAAAAAATAGAAATAATAGTAATAGCTTTTAACCTGAGGAAGCTGAAAAAAAATAGTAATAGCTGACACCCACATAGTGATTACTGAACTATGTACGCTGAACATCGTTCTAGGTTTTTTATTTTTATTAACTTACATTCTCCTTGCCAGGAATATGATGAATTATTAGACCAAATATTAAAATATGATATTTAAAAACAAGCCCAAATATTCTTTAAAATAATAAAATAGGCAAATTATAGAATAAAAGAACCCACCAATAACAAAAGTAAGAAAGAAAAACAGGACAAATTTACTGATGTAAATGTAGTCTAAATAACGAGAGGATAAACCAGACAATATTTTGAAAATAAAATGCCAATTTAGATGCATTAGACTAATTCCTAGTAAACTATGGCTTATCTAAGTTGATTTAAGAATAAATGGAGGAAAGTATTACAATAATTAAAGGGGTGTATCAATACTTTATAAGAGTTCCACATGCAACCAAGAATGTTTACAAACAATTCTACCAAGAATGTTTACAAACTACCAAATTGCAATATTTGCAAATTCTATCAGAATATTCTACAAAGGGATTATGAAAATATTCACCTTTTCTAGACTACAATAGTATTGAGAGAAGAACAGTAGTAGAAAGAAAAAATAGAGATCAGTATGATCAGTATCACTCATGAATATAAGTGCAATGTTTTTACATAAAATACAGCAAATCCTATTTCACAAGGTATGAAAAAAAAGAAACAACATTATCAGTCAGGTTAATCCCAGAAATATTACTTTAACATTAAGATATCAACTAGTAGAATCCACCATATATCAGACTGTATTATCTAGTCACAATAATTCATTCCTTCCCTTCCTGGGATGTTTCTTAATCCCAGGGCCTGGGATTTGGCTATGTGATTTACTTTGCCTGATAGAGTGTGAAGAAATATAACACGCCATGTCCGATTGCATGATTTGGTTTTCTCCCTTGTACTTTTGCTCTCTGCCGTGGGAATAGAACGCCCCCGTTAGAGGATGCTCATTTGATATGGCCCCTGGAAAGGGGAGAAATTGGAGCTCAATTAATACACATTTGACACACAACAATCGCGTGACATAAGGAATAGATGAGTGTTTTGTTGTAAGCCACGAAGACATTTAATTATTGGTTACTGCAGCAAAACAGATTAAAGTAGCAAAGCCTTGTGATAATCTTCAATGGAGCAATACATTATTAAAATTTAACGTCTACTTACAATTTTTACAAAAGATCTTAGCAAAGTAGAGAATGAAGAAATTCACTTACGCTGTCTGCCAAAATACCAAACCAAAACAACAAAACATACTTACATAGTACTTTACAATTTTTAGTAATAAAATAGCATAAATTTTATGTTGAAGATTAGAAACAAGAAAAAACGTCCACAATCATCACTGCTATTAAATATCATCCAGCCTACATAGTAAGACAAAGAAAAAAATGAACATGAATTAAAAAAGAAGACTTTGCAGATGACATACTTATATACAAGGAAGGTTCAAAGAATGGTAAAATTTTAGAATAAGAGAGTTTATCATCTTTGCTGAGTACATATTAATATAAAAATCAACTGTATTTATATACGCCAGAGAAAAAAGGTTTAGGAAATGTAGCAAAAATGATAGTAACAGAATTATTGAGTAATTAAGTATAATCTAATAAGATATATGTGAAACCTTTATGGAAAAATATTTTAAATTTTAATGAAAGGCATTTAAGAAAATCTGAATAAATGGAACAATATCCACATTCCTGGATAGAAAAGTCAATATCTTCATTATGCTACTTCTCCCTGAATTTAACCACAGAATCCACGTAAGTACAATAAAATCCTAACAAGTGTTCTTTGTGGAATTAAAAAGCTGATTCATAGTCTTTTATAGAAATTAAAAAGTCTGGGAATGGCTTGAACACTGATTTTAAAAACAAAATATTTAGGGGATCTATCCAAGAGACATCAATATTCATTCTGAGGCTATAATAATTAAAAGAGATGATATAGCAGACATATACATGAATAGAGCAATTTAACAAAATAGAAATTACAGAAACGTTTCCATACATAACAAAAATATTTAAAGAACAGAAAAGGCACAGAAAATCAGTGTATAAAAAGACCATTTTACCAGAAAAATGTCATATATACTTCAAAGTACACTGAAAAATCAATTCCAGGTAGATTAAAGATCACACATGAAAGGCAAACTAAAAGTTTTAGAAGATAACTTGGAAAATATCTTTAGGACCTTTCAATAAGGAAAGATTTATTAATGAAGACTTCTAAGGCGTTAATCTTAAAAGAAAGTGTTGATCAATATGATTACCTTATAATATACACCTTTTATTCAACAAATAACAACTCAGAAAATTTATAATGAAAAACTACAAATTGGAAAATGGTCTTTACAGGAAAGAAATAACAAATAATTAAGACTACAATAAATAGCCTAATAAAATAGGAAAAATAAGCAGATATTTTATAGAGCAAGATATATTATGTTCTGGTTCTACTTAAAGATGGAAAAACAAAAACATAACAAATGATATATAGAATATATGATACATTAAAATATTAAGGAATGATCAAGATACTTAGTAGTAAATAAGATTCAAATCAGAGCTACAAATGTGTTGGTTTGCATTTTATATTCATTTAGTAGTGCCAAAATTAAGAAGTCGGATAGCATCAAGCATTGATAATATGTGGATCTACAGGCAGCCTATAGACTCCTGAGGAAAATAAATTGATACAATTACTCAGAAAAATAATTTTGAATTATCTAGTAAAATTAAAGCCTACAGAACTGTTTGCAGCAGCAAAAGAAAAACTAGAAACAATAAATGTATATTAAAGAATATTGGATAAATAAATTGTAGTATATTCATACATAGGTATTCACTTAGGGGTAAAAATGAATGCATTATTGATACATGCATCAGTACAAGATAAATCTAACAGCTGTAATTTGAATAAAAAATATGCAGGTACAAAGTAAGATGCAATATATTACCACTTACGTGTAATTCAAAAACGTTCAAACGTAACCATGCGTTTTACTGGTATCTTATTAATTTTGTTAAAAAATGAGAATAATGATAAACACAGAAATACATTAGGTAGGAAGGAGAGGATGTCCTAAGTGGATTTTAAATGTTCTACTTCTTACGCTGAGTAGTGGATACTTAGGTATTCTATCTAACTTACATATTAAAATACTATTTTATATATGCTAATTATTTTATGAAATTCAAAAAATTAAGCAAAATTTAGTATGGTAAAAATCATGAAGGTGGCATGCAAAGTCTTAGAATTAACAGTGTATACAAATCAATTAAGATTCTATGAAGTTGTCCTATGTATGTTAACTACTAGAATTCAATTACTATATTAAACACATGGGTAATAGCATTTCAAAATTAGAAATAGGCTGTCTGGACGGAGGCAGATAGTTAAGAAAGCAGTGCTGAATCTACCTGTATTTAACTCCCATGTCCTTTCCTAAACACTCCCTCTTCAAAATTTAAATTAACTTGGATGCCTAAAAGCAGACGCAGTGTTTTCTTGGATACCTTATGCTAGTGATTCTGTTAAAAAGCTATCTTCCATGCAGGCAGGAAGATTTACCTCTAAGGCTCTGCTTCACTTACAGGAAAGCATGTTAGCATCTGGAAAAAGTTTGGTAAGGGTTTAAAGATAAGCAATTAAAACTATGAAGTAATCTCTTGGTAAATCTCATTGACGGCACCTCCAAATTTCTGTTAGGTTTAAACAGACAGCAATGTTATGGTAAAACAGGTATGGTTCATGTTCTTATCTGTTTCTGAAATAATTATAAGTTTTTAGCATTTGGGATTCAGAACTTAGGGAAAGAAGAGAAACACCAAACATTCCAGTTCCTCTACTTCCATTGACATAGTTGCATTAAAACAGTATTTGAGTGCTCGCTTCGGCAGCACATATACTAAAATTGGAACGATACAGAGAAGATTAGCATGGCCCCTGCGCAAGGATGACACGGAAAACTATTTGAAAAGTCTCAAAATAGAAAGAACCGAATGTACCTTCCCTAGTAAACAAGGCACTTTCAATTTCTATTTCAATGTCTAGGAGATACAACTGTCAGAGTTGACATCCTCTGGAGCTTTTGAGGCAATTTTTAAAGAAATTCAGAATGAAATGGTGCAAACAGAAGTACCTTGGAGAGCTCCAGTATAACTTCACAGAAAACCTTTCTCCATTCTATACTACCACATAAGGGTCCATTTTGTGACAGAATAAAACTCATATTCTTGTTCTGCATGCTTAATGCTTCCCTGGGAAATACTACTCATGTCTAGGAGTTTATAAGGATATCATTTATGAAAAAAATTTTGATAACATGGCTTAAATATAGAGATAATTTTTGAGGAATTAGTTTAAATTTGTTAAAACATCACTCTACAGCACAAAATAATAATTTTGTGTTGATTAATAGCAATAATCCTTTAACTTGTGTAATTGTTTTAAGCAATTTAATTAACTGAATGTAAAAAGATTATTTTAAAAGACAGCAATCATAGCAAATCCAAAAATTACAAAAATCTGTAATTTTTGACAGATTAAATAGCAGAAAGTATAGAGATCTGAGAACATATACCTCAAAAAATGTTTGTTTAATTGTTTGGCCACTAATTCATTCATTGATTCATACTCATCACAGTATTTCCTTAAACATTTTATTAAAATGTATCCCACAGAAGAGTCAGCAAATTGTCATGCATAACCTAATGATTTTTTTACAGAATGAATATATCTATTGTATCAACACTCAAATTAAGAAACAGCTCAGATGGTGTAGGTGACGACGGGGTAGCTATGGGAAATGAGGTAAGGCCGATAAGACGTGGAGGTAACACCTGGCATACTGCGAACCGCTTGATCCGGCTTACATTGACACATTTTATCTCTTGACTGTGATGGGTCTCATGAAGGAGTATATGAAGTCGCATCGGATGATGACGAGATATGTGATGTGAATTGGAAAAAGTTCGAAGATGTTCCAGCTGGTAGCCGCTGGACCTGGTAGATGAAACGACTATCTCGGTAAGAGATAGCCTGCTTGTGCGTGTGTGTGCGGGTGGTAGCCACTTTGACTTGAGTGTGGTATGGGACAGAAATAAAGAGAACATACATAAGGGAGAATGTAGGAATCGAGACTAAGTATATACAGGGCGGGAAGAATAGGGGGGGAGGCGGGGGTAGAGGGTGGGGACATCAAGAGAATAGGTGGAACAGGACGGGTGAGATAATGGGTGAATGAAAGTACACACGGGGGGTGATCAAATATGGAAGAGTGGGAATAGGGGCATGGGGATTGGGTGTGTCCTCTCCTGCAGGCTTGGAGGTGTGATGTGTGTGTGGCTCTTGTGCCACGAGGCGACATCAAGCTCTGCGACTCTTCCTTCGACAGTAGCAGTGCTACGGGCCTTCTGCATGCGCTCTTGCTGCCAGAGCAGCATGGGCGTGGTCAGCCGGCGAGCAGTTACGATGCTACCTCGCGTGGAAGCGGAGAAAAAGCCCCGAATGCTGCCTAAGGACTCTCCTAATTAGTTGGCTGTTCTTGCCGAAGTACTCCTCCATCTTCAGATTGGCCTCATATGTAAGTAGGATAGGAACATGACGGGCAGGCAAAGGTAACAAAAAACACACCCCAATACCGACTCAAGGTGGCACGGCTTCCGATGCTGTCAAACAGTTGTCCGAAGATTCAAATATGGAGTTGAGTCTTTGTGTTAAAACAAACCCAAAAAGTGACAATTACTAGCGCAAGTAAAAATACTATGAAGGCCTATGAAGAGGAGTTGCTCATGCTCCGTATGCCTAGATCACTAAATGGCGCTATCACAAAGACTACAAAAATAGGCACTTTGCACAAACTTCATTGGGCAACTTACACATTACACACAATACTTCTATATAAGGCACCGGCCGCAGAATACTTTCCTGTCCAGCTTCAACCTGCCACACTCGGCTCAGTTATGACGCCTCATAGGCCAACGACGACTTTAATTATACTCAAAATAGATCATGTAAGATTCTCCATTATTTCCGTCTTATTAATAGAAAAACCCCGGCTTGTCTTCGCTTATTTTCCCTAACACGGCAGTTAATACACATAGTTCAGCTTATGGCAATCCTCATTATTTTCATTGCTAATGGGTCCCTAGTTCCCGTAATAGCATTTGATTTGATTGAGTCTCTTCCCTCTGTTTATTTAGGCTAACCAGAGACAGTGTATCTAATGGATTATGGCTCTCCGTTGGTGCTCCGTGTATAATTAAGAAGAAATTTATCACTACTATCTAAGGCCAGTCATTTCAAACATTTCCTAAGACGTACTATATGAAAACGAAGCATTGATATTTCATCACATTATTTCTGGAAGTCCATTTGTGAATTTTCCAATAATTTTATTATTGCTTCCTTTAACTGACAATTCATTGCATTGCAACGAAACACTCATTAAACACTCTCATATTCAAATGTATACAAGATTTATTTTAAAACTATGAGGCATTGTGTGAAGAATTAATCGAAAATAAATGTTTCTGAAAGAGGAGTATATCCTATTATGGATTACAATTTCTGGTGAAGGAACTGAATTTCAAAAAAAAGGGTTAAGGGGTATCTGTGAGTTTAGCCTATGGAGCCGGGCATCTCATAGGTCTTCGTTGCGTGTCTGTGCTGAGGTGCTCTGGAACCTGGTCCTAGGCAATGCTGATCGCACTAAATGCCACCTTCTTACCTCACCCTATTCACGGCAGTCTGGGAGTACGGCACTATGCCCTTTGGATAGGGGCGCAGAGGCTGCTGGTTGGCAGACGCTCACAGATGCATGCCTTAGGACAATAAGTGTCAGCTTAGCCTAGGCCCTCAGGCAAAAAATGCTCGGGGGGGGACCCCATCCTGACTTCAGAAGTATAATTCTTTTTTGTCATGCATTGACATCGTGCTGCCGGGCTGTGGCCATTAAATTATCATGGCACTAATATAATCATGTGAAAGCAGGGCAGAGAGTATATGTCCTGGTGTGCCTATGCTTACGTCAGCCGAGATCCACAGTACACTAGCTCTTTCCGGAGACTCATTACTAGACATGCTGAGGCGAAAGCTATAGCAACTGGGACTTGAGAAATTTAAAGAAGAGACAAACAGGAACTTCAGACCAAGAGGAGGCACAGGTTTCTTCCTTGGAATGACTACCTGTCATCTGAGACCCGTCTGCACTCTGCTCCTAGCATCTCGAGCAAACGCTCGCTGCTCTTTGCGCTCTGATTCTCAATACAGATCTACTCTGCACTCCCACTTCCCCCTCTCCGACAACACTAATTTGTGGCACAGATCTTCGCTTTGGTGTTCTGAGACCAGCGGGGGGTTGATAGTGGAGTATTATAGAATATTAAGTTATTGCTCTCTCATCATTTGAAGCAACTACAATTTCCCTTTGAGAGATTAAAAAGCTAGGCTCGAGATCTTTAATCTGGATTACAGTAAAAACGATTGCAAATATAAGGTATCAACAGAGCTAAGAAGGCCAACCTGTTCCAAGGGGCATGTGGCCAGAGACAATTTTGCTGCCTATGTCCTTCAGGCTGAGAAGAGGGCAGGCTAGAGTGTGACACTAAGGAGTTAAAAATGTAAACTTCGCCGACAACAGCCCTGCCTTCTGGAGGGAGGGGCTTTTTGGGTTTTTTTGGGGCTGGTCATTTCGCATTTGGAACTCCTCTAGAGTTAGAAAAACCATTTTGCGGTATTCATCATGGCACCGAAAGCATGTTTTGTTGCAGGCTAGCTGGCTCTAGGTTGCGCTCATCAGAATCAGTCACTTCGCATCTTATGAATCTCTTCTTGCTGATGCTGAAAAGGCACACAACCCTCATTGAGCTGGAGAGAAACACTATTCTAGGCTCATTCAACATTATTCTGCCTCTTTTTTCCGAAGGCACCTGTTCCGGGCCCTGGAAAGCTGAGTGAGTTTTAATGAATGAGCAGTACATGCTCTCACGCTGCTTCAGCCGGCTGTGGCCAGAAGCCGGGAGGGGAATCAGGGAATGAATGGATATAACTCGAGACTACCAAGGGCTATTAATTAATCTAGACTTTCGGTCTATCTAGGATATTGAAACTCTGTGTTTGATCACGATGGTTTCAGTCGCTGCAAAGGCAGTAACTGTATGAAGTTCAATCAGTGAAACGCCTCTCGTGACCTGCTGACAATTGCTCCTGATAACAACTTAGGCACAAGATAGTCTCTAGGGATCCTGCTCGCAGCTCAGCACCTGACCTGGGCCTTAAAAAAAGAACTAGGTATTTTTAGACTTTGCTTTTATATCTCATTGAGCGTATGTTTTAACCTCTCCAGTTGAAGAGAAATTAGATATAGGCTTAGTTTCTATGGGGGACTCTGGGCTCTTAGCTTTGTCGGTATTACCAACTGCTTGTTCTGAAAACTTGCTAATTAAAGGTCAGATGATTCTCACGGAGGTGAATTTAGGGGCCCCTGTTTGGATAAACAACCATAATTTTCAGGGCATCAATTAATGGTCGAGGAAAATTCTGTTTTAAAGAAGGTTTACCTAACTATGAGCTTAAGCAGGATATGATAGTATAATTATATAGACTCTATAATTTGCGTGAGCACCCTAATGAATTAAAATCAGCTGTGGCTATCGGTTTATCCATCGTCTAAATAATCAGATGAATAGAATGTCTATATGTGGACATTTACACATTAATATGGCTCAGGATTACCAGACACCTGACTTCTCATTCATCCACACTTGAGCAATCTGTAGAAAGGGAGTGGTCTGATAATGTATATACTTAGAAAGTGCCGCCATGTGCTATGTACTTAGAAAAATATGTTGTGAAAAGTAAAGTACATTGACCATATAATCACTAGTCATGCTACTTGGTTAATCGTGATTCTGCCGATATTATAGAAAAGTACAAGGTAAAGGAGATATAAGAAATGATCAAAGACCAATCAAGGTGGAAATAATCATTC